GAACAATTGATGCTAGGTGCTTTTTATACATTTGACAAAAAATGCACAAACACTTCTGCAAATATCCCAAATTTTGAAATAACAGGTGTGACTACTTCGTTTCAATCGAAGTTGAAAGAATCGGCCTACAAATATGCGGTTGTTTATTTTAAACATTTATTTTTAACTTTAATAAAATGATATCCCTAGGTTTTTCCAGTGTGTATAGTACATTAAAATTTTAAGGTGCATGTTTTTCGTGCCGGTGAGTGTATTAGAAATAACATTGTTATTTAAATTAACTATGAAGGACATTAAAACGGAGGAAATTAAAAAAAGTTAATTATCAAATAATTGTAAAAAATTCACCTCCAGCGGAAATTTAATCGCATATAATCGAAAAAACTAACAGACCGATTGGATCGTTTTTAGAGTGGTGGGGGGTAGAGTAGGGTTGATCGAGGGGATCTTTTTAATTTTTCGCCTCGTTTGAAGCCGACGCAATTTCTCAAAGTATTCAAAGGGATAATAAGGATAATTCGTTCCCAGTTAGGACAGATTACCTAGGTCGATTCGTGGCGCCACGCTGCGGCGCAATTGTGGACTACATTTCCCGTGCTGCGGTTTTTGCCGGCGATGGCAATTTTTTGAGAACAGATCTGGGGCCAGTTTTGCGCTAGGCAATGTTGAAGTAATTATCTAATTATTTATTATTACTTACACTTATGAATTGGAACAATAAAAAATATGGTATTTTTTAAGCAATTAGGTAAATAATTATTTGACTATTTATTTAATTTAAAATCCAAGTTACCATCTGTCTATTATACAGGGTGGCGCCTCTCATACGCCGCGGAGGCTCCAAGGGGAACGACAGTTTGTATTGAAATGAAATATTGTGAGCATATGTAGGTTAATTCAGGGCACTTTTTAAAAATATAGAGAGTTCTACAGGGTGTCCCCAAAAAAAGTTACATATCAAAGTTGTGTTTTTTGTAATGGAACACCCTATATATTAATTGATTTTCGGATTCTAGGATAAAAATAAAGGTGAGTTTTATAAGAGAAGTATATGACTAAAATGTAAGGTTTTTGACATATTTAACATTTTCTAGAAATAAAGAACAATTTTTTAAATTACAATAAAAGCTACCTAAATTGGAATTTACCTGGTGTAGCCTAATATGTAGTTAAACTAACTATTCTACTTTAAATCAAATTAAAACTTGACCCAAAAAGTTATACAGGGTGAGACAAAATTAATATTGAACATTGGTCACCTTTAAAAGCATGTTACTCTCTTATTTTAAATGGAACACCCAGTATATTATTCCGACATTTAAAGGAGAATTCCTGTGTCTTCAAAATACTATTAAGGTTGCCTACCCCTCAAACAAAGATTTTCCTAGATATTTTCATTTACATGATTTGATCTGAGTAGATCTTTATTATTTGATAAAACCTAGGTGGCTGTGATATGTCTGACGTCTTCAACATAGCTGTCTAATTAGTTCAACTTTAATAACTAGTTATAATTTTTTGTCAGTTAAAACAAAAAAAATATTCTCAGGAATTTGCGAAAATGCAAACTTACCAGGCGAAAGAATTGATATGATTCAGAACCATCAGAAAGAATTGATTGATAATTCTATTAGTTGGTGAATGCAGTGTGCATTTACCAATTAATAGAATAATTAAATGCTCCTGATTTTATCTAGTCTGAGTTTTTTTATGGGGATATGTTAAAGACAGTGTTTAAAAAGCTCGACCAACTAGTGTCGACAGCATGAGATAAATTATTGTAGCTGCTTTATCAGGTAGAACTCCACATAATGCCTTTTAAAATGAAAAGATCCTTTTGAAAATACAATCATTTTATGCAGTTAACAGGAAAGGAAGCATTTTGAGCATTTGATTTCATCCAGCTAATTTTTGTCGCACAATATTATAGGTTTATATCTAGTTTTAATTCTGTAATAATTAAAATATGTTTTAAACGTGTATTTTTTATTACCCTTGAGTTTTTTACTCCACAATCTTTAATTTTTGTTAAATTAATAAAAGGTATATCACACAGCCACCTAGATTTTTTCAAATAATAAAGATTTGCTGACGCAAAATCATAAAAATTAAAATATCTGGGAAAATCTTTGTCTGAGGGGTAGGCAACCTTAATAGTTTTTTGAAGATATATAAATTCCCCATTGAACACCGGAAAAATATACTGGGTGTTCCATTTAAAATAAAGGAGTAACTTGCTTTGTAAAGTACTAATGTTCCATATTAATTTTGTCTCACCCTGTATAACTTTTCGGGTTAAATTTCAATTTGTTTTAACATACAATGGTTACTGTAATTAAATATCAGGCTATACAAGGTCAACTAAAATTTAGGTAGCTGTTATCGAAATTTAAAATTTACTCTTGATTTTCACAAAATGTGAAATATATCAAAATCCTTAGATTTGAGGTATATGCTTCTTTAATAAAACTCACCTTTATTTTTTTCCAGAATCCGAAAATCAATTAATATATAGGGTGTTCCATTAGAAAAATCACAACTTTGATGTGTAACTTTTTTTGGGGACACCCTGTATAATTCTATACAGGGTTGTTCACCACATACGACACGGAGTATTGTAGCTAAACGATTAGATTTTTACAAATTGTAAGTTTTGGGTTCGTTGAAGGTATATTAGAGCTACAATTTAAAAATATTTTTACATTTTACAAGATACAGAGTGTCCCAAATAAGTAAAAAATATTATAGTTGTATTTTTTTAAATGGAACACCTTGTATATTATTCTATTTTTAGATTCTGCGGTTGAAATAAAGGTAAATTTGATTAAGGTTTATCACACTTAAACCTTACCGTTTTTGAAATATTTTCAATTTTATGAAATCGTAGTAAAAATTTTAAGGCTTTATTTCTCCCAGGCTATCAAAGTTTTTAATACTAAATATTTACTGAAGATTATTTATTGATCAGATATTGTGTTGCAATAATAAAAATTTTACTACCTTATACAGAGTGTCCAAAAATTTATATTAAATAATTACTAGCTTTAAACGGCAATAACTTGTTTAATTTAAATGGAACACCCTATATATTTTACGCGAATCAAATGCACAATGTAGTTGTCTATCAAATTGTATTGTTCCATTTTTTACCCATCTCTTCAAGTTTTCATAGAAAATGCATTTTCTTATAATTTAGGCCTCATTTATCACTATACCCATGGAATATTGACATTTTAGCTTATTTTTAACGATGTGACAAATTTCCAAAGGGTACAGATACTAATATTGTCGATATAGTTCGCTTAGTTAATTAAAAAATAAAAATAAAACTGTTTAAATATTTTTTGTTAAAGAGGACCAATTAATATGATCCCAGTATTCAAACTACATTAAATTGACTGTTTACGTTAAAGTAATAACTGTTCCAAATACTGAAAAACTGAATTTTATGTGTATATTAGACAGTGCGGTAAAAAGTAACACCTTATAAATTTTATTTCATTTATTGACGAATGCTTATTTATAAAAACAGAGACATTAATTTTCATAACTTATTATTATATTGATTTCTGAGCCAAATCTACATTTATTTAGAATAATTTATTAATTAAAACAATTTACAAGTATGTAACTAACTTTTGGTGTTTTTTTATAGGAAATAATGGTGATATATTTAATTCGTATACTCTTTTACAAAGATTTAAATAGTTTTTTTGTATGCAAATGGGCTTGCAATATTTACCACCTGTATATTTTGTACATATTATGGTGCTATAAAAAAATCTGAAATGTCAATATTCCATGGGTATAGTGATAAATGAGGTCAAAATTATAAGAAAATGCATTTTCTACGAAAACTTCAAGAGATGGGTGAAAAATGGTATAATACAATTTCATAGACAATTACATTGTACATCTGATTCACGTAAAATATATAGGGTGTTCCATTTAAATTAAACAAGTTATTGCCGTTTAAAGCCGATAAACCTTAATCAAATTTACCTTTATATCAATCGTAGAATCCAAAAATAGAATAATATACAGGGTGTTCCATTTAAAAAAATACAACTATAATATTTTTTACTTATTTGGGACACTCTGTATCTTGTAAAAATATTTTTAAATTGTAGTTCTAATAGATCTTCAACGAACCCAAAACTTACAATTTGTAAAAATCTAATCGTTTAGCTACAATACTCCGTGTCGTATGTGGTGAACAACCCTGTATATTTTTATAAAATGCTTTCAGTTAACCTCCATATACTGCCAAAATTTCATTTCGATATAAACTACCGTTCTCCTTGGAGCTTCCGCGGCGTATGAGAGGCGCCACCCTGTGTAGGGAAAACAAAATGTTGATATTTTGACAATTTAAAACACCTTGTGGAATTTAACAAAGTAAGAAATTGACAAACTATTTTATCATCACGGTGAATTTTTTTGATAGTTTGTTTTTTGGTTTACATCAATAGGCTTTCTTTTTATTGGAGATGTTTGCTTTTGAAGAACACAGTAATGATTTACAGCAATTTTGCATTAAAAGCGTGCCTTTGCAACACAGCAGTAGCCGATGAAGCCTTATGAAGTGTTTTGCTTTAAATTCAATGATTTCCTAGATTTTAAATAATTTAGCGAAACCCTTAGATTGCGTTCAATTCGGGTCGACGAAGGCAATCAATCAAGTGGACCGATATGTTTGAGTTTATGGTAACAAAAAGGACTCTTTTCCCGTGTGTGGAATTGTCAGTTACCTCCATCGGGTACGTCCCTATGGGAATTAGGGGAAGCTTACTGGATCTGCAAGTAGACTCATAGGGTAGTGGAGAAATAAAATATCCACCTTGAAATAAAAACTGACCCGGTCCTCCAGGTTTGGGGGTTGAGGCATTAGACTCGTTCTCTAATACTCGGAAAAACTTACACCTACCAAAAAACCCAAACGAAGCCTCGGAACATTGGACGGATCACTAAAACGACGAAAACGGCAAAGAAAATGGACTATGAGTTTCGCTACATGGAATGTACAGGGAATTAGGCTAAAAAAGGACATCATCGCTGCTGAAATGCAAAAACAAAACATGTATTTAATAGCACTTACTGAAACCAAGAAAAAAGGCCAAGGCACCGAAAATGTTGGAGAATATATTCATCTCTATACCGGAGTGGCAAAAGAAAAAAGAGCTGCCAGAGGAGTATCAGTTTTAATAAAAAAGAGCTGGAAAAACAAGATTAAGAATTGGGAAGCTGTTAATGAAAACATCCTAACAATCAACATCATATTATATGGCTATAATATAACCATCATAGCAGCCTACGCACCCTCAGAGGAAGAAAGATACAGTGTCAAGCAAGACTTCTTCGACAAATTAGATCAGCTCCTAGAAGATTTTGGTAGATATAGGGAAGTTATATTGCTGGGCGACTTCAACGGACGAACGGGAAGAAAAAATAGTAGGACCCTTTGGAGAGGCAACAACTAATGATAACGGTGAAAGACTTATTGATCTTTGTGAAACTCACGATCTGAAAATTAACAACGGCTTTTTCAAGCACAAAGACATTCATCGATACACATGGACACAAAATACCCGAAACCTAAAATCTATAATCGACTATGTGATAAATAAACAGGAAACACATATTGAAATAAACGACGTAAGAGTCCTAAGAGGGATCACCTGTGGATCGGATCACTTTTTAGTAAGAGCCAAAATAAGAATACATTTTAGAAAAATGGATAAGCTTCAAGAAAATCATAACACTGGGATACCAATGGAATCAATGAATACAGTACAATATAACTTTAACAGCTTTAATGATGACAGTACTGTGTTTTTGTATCAAAGACGACTCGATAGTAAGCTCTTGGATCCTGAGGAATGCACATTTAATGAAATCTACGAGAACATTAAAAGTAATCTAATTGCCGCTACCAAAGAGGCAATAAGAACAAAAGAATACTCTACCAACAAGAAATACTGGTGGAACGATGAGATGGAGTCTTATGTCCAAGAAAAAAACAAAAATATCTGAAATGGCTATCTACTAAAACAGAACGCGATCTTGAAGAATACAAAAAGGCGCTATGTGCTGGAAATACTCCAGACATAAGTCTACCAGAGCACGTTCAGTTTTATAAAAATTTACCTCATATAACTGAATAATTTTTGTTTCAGTCTTTTGCGCCAAATATTTTGGTTTAGTTTCAGAACTTCATTATTTTTATGTTCTTTTGAAAGTGTTATTGAATGAATGCACTAAAAGGTATTAGTAACTATTAGTTTCTGTTTCTGCAGTTTTTGTATTATTGGTTCTTGTTTTGTAACCTAGTTAGAGATTATTTTTAAGGCTGTCAAAAGTTGTTTTGATAATTCTTTTAATGTTCACGAGCTGTATTTGTTAAAATAAATTAGCATTATGTCTTTAAGATACACATTATTTTGTCCAAACTCCACGACTTTTAACAAATTGTCTATACAATCAATGAGGGCGTATCTGGTAAGTAATAGCAAAAGCAATTGTTAATCGCATAACGTAAAGGCGTATCTGAAATAATGTGTTAAAATACCCTTTATAGTACATTTATCAATAATTTTTATCGTTTATCCTATTAATCTTGCCATGAGTTAAATAACCTCCAAGGTTATTTATTCGTCAGAGAGTCATTTTTCTTAAAATCGCTCTCCTAAAAAATCGTTAAAAACGAGCTACCCCTTTACGTATTTTTAACGGCGAGTTATTTGACTGAAATAGTAAATTTTTATTACTGCTACAACCTAACCTAACCTAACTTTCTTTTTAAAAGACTGAATGCCAGAAGGGTGTTCGATATCGTTGGAAATATCATTGTAAACTCTGACCGCATTATAGGAAAATGGACGCTGGAACAAAGCTGAGACATGCCTAGGAACACTGTACAACGCGCCTGATCTAGTAGGATAGGTACCCAAGTAGCATTTGGACGTTATCTAATGTCGGGTATACGTCGCGTTCAATAAACCCGACGTCGGGTACCAACGTCGGTTCGACCGCCTGACGACCCTTATTTGCACCTAAATGGGGAATACAGATTCGGGTCGCCTCGACGTCGGTATCTGACCTAATAGGGGATGTAATTCTACCAATTACCAACGTCATATTACGTTGGATTTTAGTCACTTAAAATTCGTCGCTAAGAACTTACGTTACGTTTGGTTTCATTTCGCTACCAAGAATACATAAAAACCTAACCAAACTACCTAATTACAAATGGATCCATAATCACTCCTCGAATAGAACTATAAGTGCCTACCTAATTTCATATTATAATAATTCTGAATCATTAATCCAGACATCAGTTTTGTCAACGGAAGTCACTTTTTTGATATATCTGATTAAAATACTCCGGAAAACAACGAGCGCCTTCAAAAGTAGGTAGATTTATGAAATAAAAATATCTATAAAAAAGTAACTTGCAAAATATTTTATTTTATTTTCTAGCTGGTATAATCATAAAACTGTACTGTGGTTCCCCCCAAACTCAACCTTATCAATATTATTCTACTAGAAATCGGAATGTGAATATAAATTTTAAAAACAAAAAACGATTTTAAAATAGCTGACAATCGGATACCTGTTAAGAATGGCGGATTTCTGTGTCCGACTTAATATGAACTACCAATATACCAATTCCGACCGGGTCTCCAACATTAGTCTCACACGACCGAAGTCATCAAACCGGACGACCGGCAATCGTATTATGACGTATATAATTCCAACGTACGCCACGTAATCTCACTTTGCGTATCAGAGATTTGTGGATTTGTGCAACTATATTTTAGTTTTGTTTTCTCTTTAAATATAACATGGGCAGCCACTTTTTTAAGATAGTATATACAAAATTTAAAAGAATTGGAACCAGTACCTCACATGTGGGAGGAGGATGGGGTCTGCTGGTTTCCTAAGCTAAAAAATGAAATTAAGATGCGCCAGTGTAATGCAGCATCTCTTCCGGATAAAAAGCATTCGTGGGCGGAGGGAAGACATCACTACCACTATTATTATTTTGCAAAAGCTTCGACCTCTTTCTGTAAAATGTAGATGAATGTCTAAATGCCTTTTTAGTGTTTTTTAGGCATAATAAAAAAAAATTAAGTTTGTTTACAAAAACTTTTTATTAGGTTATGTTCATGATGTTTATTAGGCCGCAAATGCTACTTAATGGGTTGTATTTACGGACGTAAATAGAGATACGTAAATTAGGTTAAATATATAAACATAAAATACAACAAAATATAATTGGACGTTACTTTAGGGATTATCAGTGAGACGTATCCTATTCGGACAACGGGTAGACGTCGGGCTAGTTCAAGTATAGGTACGTCGTGCAAGCCAACGTTGGAACGACGTTGGGAAATTAATAAAAATGGTATGTTGTTATTTTGTACGTCGACAGATCGTTGGATTTACCGACTCGGATCCAACGACGTCGCTTTTAATAGGAAAGCGACGTCACCAGTCGTATCACCAGCACCCGACCTAAATTTGCACAAAGTCTGACGTCGCTTCAGGTCAGATTTAGTTCGAAGTCAGATAAATGCTACTTGGGTATGCGTTTTGTTTCGCTTAGACAATTCCTCAAATAGATAAATTGGTGTTTGGGATTCATTAATTCTAAAAACCATACAGGCCACATGCACAATAAATCTCTCGTCCAAATTAAGCCAGTGAGACTCCCTAAAGCAATCCGATATGTGATCATATTTCCGTAAGTTATAAGAGTATCTTACACAAGCGTTCTGTAATTTTTGTAACGAATGTCGATCAACTAGACGCAGAACAGGCTAATAAACTACGTCACAATATGGAATAATTGAAAGAATTAGAGAGTCGCATAAACGGAGTTTAAATAGTGTGCTAAGAATGTCTCTGTATTTATGAAGTATATTTAAACATGTGAGGGAGGCTACACCATAATTGGAAATGGCTGAATAAGCTGAAATAGTGCGTCTCAAAAGTGGTTCACCCCTGTAATATGACATAAATTAGTATTGATTGACATATTCAATTGTTTTCGGCCGCTTCCGGATACACCGGAAATGACTACAACTTTTGATTTTTAAATGCCACCCTCAGCATTTTTTTACTTTATTCGATAGAAAAAGACACTCTGAATCAGAGGCGGCTTGTCCTATGAAGCAGATGAGGCAGTGCCTCACCAATACATTTGAAAAATTACACGTATTAATCGATACATCTTAAATCACAATTTTATATTTTTTTCCCTATTTGCATCAATAATAATTGTATTTTTTAACCGTCATTCTACAATAAATTACGTCGATGGTATTCCTTTAACGCGCTTCCTTTCCCATATGCGACAAACTCGACGATGTATATCCATCTCATTTGTTCTTTAAGAAGTATATGTGCAGAGGTTTGCCTCTCGCCTTGCCTTGTCTAGCGTATTGTGGTATATCGCACTGGCGGAGCGACAGCGTTCACTGGAATCTTAACTCTGTAGAATGAAAAGAAAAAGCATAGGCAAAACCTTTAGTTGAACAGAGATAAAATGTATGGAGTAGTAGCGCGTAAAAAGACTGTATTGAGGAGAGCCTCAAATGTAAATTTGAACCTTAGAAGCCGTTCGTTAAAAATATGTATCACTTCCCGATCAGTTCCCGATCAGCTCGAGAGATATTAGGCGACGACAGGCTGAAAATGCAGAATTGCATTATTTGGGAATTTGGCTTAGTTTGAATCAGAGTTTGAATTAATTCTGCCGGTTATTACACTGTTTTGTCTACGTTTTTTAATGTGAATTGTTCATATTAAGTAAATACCTAAAAAGTTGGCAGTGACTTATCGTTGATTGATATGATGATTTAGAGGGAACATGCATCATCAGAGGATTTCCCCAGGTAAAGTTTTTCGAATCATTTCTAGATAAATTGTGTATAGTCAAAAAGTAAAGCGACCTGTTACAGATTTCGTTTTGTTTTATTTTTATAGGATGGGTAGAAAAACAAAATTTTACCATACAGAGTAAAATATACGAGAAAATATCCTGAGGTCGTTTTCATAAAAATTTACTGTTGCAATAGCCCTATGTAATAGGTACCGTATGATCGAAAAAAAACGGCGTCAGCGTTGGCTATGAAATGAAGATCGCTGTCATTTTATATGTAAATTTATATGGGAACTGTCATCGATCGTCATTTCCCAGCCAACTGGACGCCGTTTTTTTTTCGATCATACGGTATAATACTGCGAATTATATTACATAAGGCTATTTCCGCAACTGCTAAAAATTTAGAAATATTTTAAATACAAAAATGTGCGCTTTTTAAGTCTGTAGGTATCTAAAATACTAAAAATAATATACAGTGTGTAATGCATTTAAAAAAAACTGAGATATAGCATTATAATATTGCAATGTTGGCCGCGCCATAAAAAAATCCCTGTGAATGTGAATTTTTCTCGGATTTCCTCTTTTATCCTATATACCTCGCTATATTATACGTACTTAAGCAATAATATATCAATAAGTTAAATTCACTCCAGGTTTTTACCACTCTTTAAAAGATAAAATTTTTCAAATATGAATTATCATGGAAATCCCGCATATATAGTGCTTCAAATAAATCAATAGTGTGATGTATGCTGAATTTTATGCTGAACCCAATTCTGTACAGAATTTCTGTACATTACCATTTAATGTACAGAAAAATGGCAATTTTAAAGAAAATATTTTTTTAGGATATGTACTTTTTTTATATAGAACTTCCTCGTACTAATGGCCACCCTATATATATATATATATATATATATATATATATATATATATATATATATATAATATACATACTAATAAAAATTCTCTTCTAATGTGCCTCACCATCTTCCAGTGCTACGAGCCCCTGCTCTGAATCTAATAAACATATCATATGCAACTTACACATTCATTGACATATTCACTCAAAAACAAATTGTATCTTAAATTTCAATCTAGTGTGCCATGGCTGTGTTAAAAACAATATTTTTTAATCAAGGAGGCTTGGAGAGATACATTTGATCGTCTAATGTTTTTAGTGTCTTGCCCTGGCCGGTTAAAAGATGCCCAAATCGTATTTTTAATCATTTATTTAATCATATCATTATAAATTTATTTAAATATTAAAATTAGGAAAAAACTATTTAAAGTTAAATTAAATCAGATATAACTCTTATTAGGTTATGATTATTACTTGTACCTATTTAAATTGTATATTAAATTCGTAAAGACATATAAAGCATAAAATAATCTTTTATAAACATATCACTATAATCATGGCTCTATTTTTTAATCAGCATCACTTTTGTTCTATAACGTCGCGAATCCAAACGACATTATTATCAAATCCATCCCAAAATCCTGCTCTTTCTTTAATCGAATTAGCCAACCGAGACGATTCGACATTAGTTTCTAGTCTTTAATTCCCCGTTTTCATCCAGGCTGGATCGTGGCGGGACGAGTCCAGGATAGCGCGCAGCAGGATGCTGTTATTGATTTATCCAGACGGCTGTCAAACGGGAAAGAGGCTGGAAACTGGGTATCCTAACCTAAAATGTTCCCGAATATGTTGTTTCTGGTGGTAAAGAAGAATTAAACAGTGCTTGAGGTTTGTATTGAATTAGTAGCTTTGGATAGAACACAATTTGTATATTATAATGTATAAATTTAGCACTTGAAGATGATAAGTTTTTAGTTATATAGCTGTTTTATAAATTTGAAAAATATGGGTCAACTTTTTTGTTAGTGAGTAGTGATTTAGTGCTTTTAATGTTAAATTTGTGCTAAGAAAATATACATGTGCATCTAAAAACGATATAACTTAGAGAATATAAAATATTATATTTATTTATTCGGAAATAGATCCTATACAGGGTGTTCGTACCATTGAAAAAATGATTTTAAAAATGTATTGTTCCCTTGGGTTCTTCATAGGATGTTCAAACAGCTACTATTATATACACAGCTACTATTTATACGCAGTATTGTGCTATATTTTTTGTCCTTGTAGAATTACTATAATGGTTAATACAAAAAATAGTAGATTATTAAATGGCACATACTGAGTACCCCAATTCTCTCTAATAATATGTATTTGAGATATGAGATATCTTTGATAATATTTTTTGTATAAGAGATATCCCTGGTTTCTTTTCAAATTATCACCCTGTATAGGATGTCTCAAATTCGAGGATAACCAATGGTATTTCAGAAACCATAAGAGATACAAAGGACGCCAAATTATGACAACTTTTACAATTTTATATTCAATAAAATGAACGTTTTGAAAATTAAAAGACTCCAAATCCTTCTAAAAAAATTCTAAAAAAACGACATAGAGTAAAATCGTTTTTATTATTTTCTGACTTTATTTGAAGAGATTTTTAAAATAAATGTATGATAAGATATTGCAACATATCATCAACTTGGACCTTGGATTTGGATTCAATGATTCAAAGAAAATTCCCATATTATGTTGCAATGTGTATACGCCGAGGTATACGCGGATCACTATGATTAACTTTGTAATAAGCAAGCAACATTTTTATGCAAGTATAATACATCATTGCTCTTTCGAATTCGGTACACACTGTATCTATTAAGATGTCTGTGATTTTTAAAGTCATACGAGTGTTATATTCTCTCGCTGAACAGATTATATTTTTCCACCTTTTTCATAGCTTTTTTTATTTTTAAATTATTACAGAAAACCTTTGAAATTCAATTGTATTTTAGAGATACAGGGTGGTCCAAACTGTATTCCTGGAACTTCAGCAGCATATTCTGCAGATAAAAATAAGTAAAAAAGTTCGTATAAATGTATGTCCTAAAATGCTTAGGTTCGGAGATACAGGGTGTAGAAGTTTCATTTTTATATCGATTTTTTCCAAATAATTTATGAAGTAACATAATTATTTGGATAGAAATTGGCGTCTGAGAATTTTTTGACATGAGAAATTTGATTTTGATGTCAATATGACTCTTACTTGTAAGGGGCGCCACCTACATATGTTTCTACTAGTTTGAAGAGTAAAAAAATATACATTTACGACGTCTTTTACGTAAAAAAGGTCCATTGGTAAAAATCGCTACGAGTAATGGTTCTCGAGATATTTGGAATAGAAATTGTCAATACCTGTCATCAATGACATAAATTAAACATGATGACTACATAGTTATTAGGCTGAAATCATAAATTTGAAATGTTTTTGTGCTAAAAATTCAACAGAAACTGTTTTATCATCATTTTTTCGCAGATATTTATGATTAAAAGGTAAAAATTTCCCAAATTTATTATTTCAATGAAATAAATATCTACTATACCGTCTGTATTTTTTGTCAATAATGACACGTATTGACAATTTACATTCTAAATATCTTGAGAACGGTTGCTCGTAGCGACTTTTACCAAGAGACATTTGTTAGGTAGAAAGTAACGGAAATGTATATGTATTTCTTTACTCAGTAGTTTTATACAGATACAGACGAGAAGTTTAAAACAGTTAAAATACATGTAAGTGGCGCCCCCTACAAATAGGAGGTATATTGACATCAAAATCAAATTTCTCATGTCAAAAAACTCCGAGACAGCAATTTTCATCCAAATATTGACAGAAATTATTTGGAAAAAATCGAAATAAAAATGAAACTTCTACACCCTGTATCTCCGAATCTAAACATTTTAGGACATACATTTATACGAACTTTCTTACTTATTTTTATCTGCTGAAGTTTCCGGAATACAGTGTGGACCACACTGTTTAATTACTTTGATAATTACTTTGGGTTAAGTTGAGTGGCTATCTAGTCAGACTTCGTCCATTTAGCAAATAAGGACAATTTATTATTATCATTACTTTATTATATTTTGTTTTAAATTAATTAATGAGTAAAAAAGGGAGTCTCTTTTAGAAACATAGAAATCGATATGGAGCATATAGATTTCCAAACATATCCTGCGATCTGCATATCAAACCGGTTTTAAAACCACACTGGGAATCAAACTGCTGAAACACGAAACTGTAACAGGTGCTCCCGTATTCCGCCTAGCTTTGAATAAAAATCGCAAATATCAAAAGGGGGCCCGCGTCGCCCCCTGCGAATATCCCTTTATCCACCACTGAGGGATCCGCTCTCTCTGCGAGCACTTGAGCCCGACACCATGGCACACCATATGGACCTGTACGCCCTCTTCCATGGTAACTATAGATGTTATCTGACGCCTTAATGACCGTCCCTGGGGGTCGGCTATGTCCGACATGTCATTAGAGAGTGCAGGGCCGGGTGAGGATTTTTCTTCATGAAGATATACAGGGTGGCGCCTCTCATACGACGCGAAGGCTCCAAGGAGAACGGTGGTATATCGAGATTAAATTTTGGGAGCATATGTAGGTTAACTGAAAGCATTTTATAAAAATATATGGAGTTATAGAGGATGTTCCACAAAAAAGTTGCTTTTTGTAATGGAACACCCTATAAATTAATTGATTTTCGGATTCTAGGAGAAAAATAAATATGAGTTTTATTAAAGAAGCATATGCCTAAAATGTAAGGATATTGACATATTTCACATTTTGTGAAAATGAAGAGTAAAGTTTAAATTTCAATAATAGCTGCGTATTTTTTAATATACCCTGTATAACCTGATATTTAATTACAATAAGCATTGTATGATAAAACAAATTAAAATTTGACTCGAAAAGTTATATAGGATGAGACAAATTTATTATGGTACATTTAAAAGCAAGTTACTCCTTTATTTTAAATGGAACACTCAGTATATTATTCCCGTGTTCAATGGGGAATTCATATATCTTCAAAATATTATCAAGGTTGCTTACCCCCCAGACAAAGATTTTTCTAGATATTTTAATTTTTTTGAATTCGTGTCTGTGTTAGATCTTTTTTATTTGAAAAAATCTAGGTGGCTGTGGTATGCCTTTTGTTAATTTAACAAAAATTAAAGAATGTAGAGTAAAATATTCAATTGTAATAAAAAGATACACGTTTAAAACATATTTTAATTATTACAGAATTAAAACTAGGTATAAACTTATAATTATGTGAGAAAAATTCTAAATGAAATCAAAGCTCAAAATGCTTCTTTTTCTGTTCACTACATGAAATGATTCTCTTCATTCATTTTCAGATTCATTCTCTTCAAATCTATTTATTTAAAAAGGCCTATATGAGGTTCTACTTCGAAAAGCAGCTACAAGCATTTCTAATGTTGTCGGCAATAGTTGGTCGAGTTTTGTAAACACTGTCTTATGATTTACATATCCCCATAAAAAATCCCAGACTAGATAAAATCAGGAGCATTTTTTAAGTATTTTATTAATTGGAGAATGCACACAGCATTCAGTAACTAATAGAATCATATCAATTCTCTCTGATGTAGGATAAGCTGGATAAGTTTCCATTTTCCGCAAATTTCTGAGATATTTTTGTTTTAACTGACACACAATGATAAATAGTTGTTAAAGTTGGACTAATCAGATAGTTATGTTGAAGTAAGTAACGTCAGACATATCACAACCACCTAGATATTATCAATTAATAAAGATCTAGTGACCTAAATCAGAAAAATAGAAATATCTAAGAAAATCTTTGTCTGAGGGGTAGGCAACCTTAATAATATTTTGAAAATATATGAATTCTTCATTGAACACCGGAGTAATATACTGGGTGTTCTATTTAAAATAAAGGAGTAACTTGCTTTTAAATGTGACCAATGTTCAATATTAATTTTGTCTCACCCTGTATAACGTTTCGGGTCAAATTTTAATTTGGTTCAACATACAATGGTTATTGTAATTAAATATCAGGCTATACAGAGTAAATTACAATTTAGGTAGCTGTTATTGCATTTATAATTTATTCTTCATTTTCACAAAATGTGAAAAATACCAAACCAAAATTTCATTTTGATATAAACTACCGTTCTTCTTGGATGCTCCGCGTCGTATAAGAGGCGCCATTCTGTATATTCTGTATTATCTGCTACTTCCAATGTGATATTGATTGGAATGTCCAGAATTATTAGCAGTTTATTGTACATTATATTTGTGTAATTTATGTTGATCTTAATACAGGATGAGCCTTAAATAAGTACAAATATTTTCAGGGCTGGTAGATCTCTCGATAAAAGAACCATATTTTCTCTTTGCCGTTTTTCAAATAAGTCCAATACTTACTTTTTAATCTACTACTTATATTGCCGTATTATCGAGACAGTATGCTTTTTAACTAAATATTAAAAATCTTTTCGAAAAATACAAAATTTAAAAAAAGGTCATTGACGTGTTAGTGTGGTCAAAATATACCACCCTTAAAATATTTGCACATATTATTTAAGACAGCCTGTATACCATAATCTGTCCAACCAAAATTGTATTTTTCATAATTTCTGGATGTATGTTGAAATCTTCCCTGATTGGTTGGACAACCTTTATTTAACACAGTACACAAATATTTAGAATATTCGAAAAAAGAAGAAAATTATTATTTCAATAATAATAATTTCCCCAATTACGACCCTGTCTCCATCTAGCCTCTTCATTAGCCACTCATTACAATTCCCTACAGAATGCTCGTCTGTCAACACTT